GTCATATGCTACCAACTCACTTGCTCGTGCCGGCCAAATTCCACCCACTGCTTACACATTCTTCGTACTGCATTGTACCTCAATCCACCTTCCGGCCATTCGTTTGGCCTTTCCCCTTCTGCTCTCTGCCCTCTCTTCCCTCTCTCCCTTCTCTCCCCTCTCTCCCCTCTCTCTCTCCTCCCTAAATCCCTCCTCCCTCACCCAACAGGTGTCAGTACTATGTCGCCTCAGTCATGCCTGTCCAGATAACACCTATCCCGTACCCCCTCTCTCCTCTCCACTATCTGCTCCCTCACCCAACAGGTGTCAGTACTATGTCGCCTCAGTCATGCCTGTCTAGATAACACCTGCCCCATACCGTACCCTCTCTCTTCCACCGACATACCCCTGTCTGAAGCGAGAATGGAAAAGGGAAAAACCGTTGTAGCAGAGAGAGGAGGTGATGGAGGGAATGGTGTGCGAGAGGAGGCAGGTGCGGGCGAGGAAGGTGGGGGCGAAGAAGCAAGGCGAAGAAGCAAGGCGAAGAAGCAAGGCGAAGAAGCAAGGCGAAGAAGCAAGGCGAAGAAGCAAGGCGAAGAAGCAAGGCGAAGAAGCAAGGCGAAGAAGCAAGGCGAAGAAGCAAGGCGTGGGAAAGGCGAGATGGAAAAGGACTGGACAATGCTGTCATGTGGTTTGGCGATGGTATGCCTAAAGCGGTGTTTGTGAATCGGTCCCAGGAAAGCATATCTCCTCGCTTTGTCAGCAGCTCTCGTGGTGTCTCACGATGGTGCGCGTATCACATGATTGCCATGATACAAGCATGGTGCGCGTATCACATGATGGCCATGATACAAGCATGGTGCGCGTATCACATGATGGCGATGATACAAGCATGGTGCGCGTATCACATGATGGCCATGATACAAGCATGGTGCGCGCATCACATGATGGCCATGATACAAGCATGGTGCGTGTATCACATGATGGCCATGATACAAGCATGGTGCGCGTATCACATGATGGCCATGATACAAGCATGGTGCGCGTATCACATGATGGCCATGATACAAGCATGGTGCGCGTATCACATGATGGCCATGATACAAGCATGGTGCGCGTATCACATGATGGCCATGATACAAGCATGGTGCGCGTATCACATGATGGCCATGATACAAGCATGGTGCGCGTATCACATGATGGCCATGATACAAGCATGGTGCGCGTATCACATGATGGCCATGATACAAGCATGGTGCGCGTATCACATGATGGCCATGATACAAGCATGGTGCGCATATCACTTGATGACCATGATACAAGCATGGTGCGCGTATCACATGATGGCCATGATACAAGCATGGTGCACGTATCACATGATGGCCATGATACAAGCATGGTGCGCGTATCACATGATGACCATGATACAAGCATGGTGCGCGTATCACATGATGGCCATGATACAAGCATGGTGCGCGTATCACATGATGGCCATGATACAAGCATGGTGCGCGTATCACTTGATGGCCATGATACAAGCATGGTGCGCGTATCACACGATGGCCATGATACAAGCATGGTGCGCGTATCACATGATGGCCATGATACAAGCATGGTGCGCGTATCACATGATGGCCATGATAGAAGCATGGTGCGCGTATCACATGATGGCCATGATAGAAGCATGGTGCGCGTATCACATGATGGCCATGATACAAGCATGGTGCGCGTATCACATGATGGCCATGATACAAGCATGGTGCGCGTATCACATGATGGCCATGATACAAGCATGGTGCGCGTATCACATGATGGCCATGATACAAGCATGGTGCGCGTATCACATGATGGCCATGATACAAGCATGGTGCGCATATCACATGATGGCCATGATACAAGCATGATGCGCGTATCACATGATGGCCATGATACAAGCATGGTGCGCGTATCACATGATGGTCATGATACAAGCATGGTGCGCGTATCACATGATGGCCATGATACAAGCATGGTGCGCGTATCACATGATGGCCATGATACAAGCATGGTGCGCGCATCACATGATGGCCATGATACAAGCATGGTGCGCGTATCACATGATGGCCATGATACAAGCATGGTGCGCGTATCACATGATGGCCATGATACAAGCATGGTGCGCGTATCACATGATGGCCATGATACAAGCATGGTGCGCGTATCACATGATTGTTGTGACAGTTATGATTGCTGGACTTGGACCGCAATGGCGCCAGACGCGCTCTCTTCTTCAAACCCGAGGCAACGTTTTGGAGATGAGCCTCTGCGCTACTCTTTTGGCTGAACAACATGATATGGCCCTGTACGACAGCTAGAGCAACAAAAAGACCAATCAATTTGCTTGTCTAGCACATAGTCAGGTGGAATTGCAGAAAGAGCAATGACAAAAGCATTTTCAAGAGTAGCAGAAACACCGACAATAGCAGCCACGGCAACAACAGCAGCAGCCGTACTACATACCTCCGTTATGTCACAACTGCAAAACTTCATGACACTCACGACCACTGCTCACAACACCAACAGTCAACGCGTTAGCGCATGGTTGCTGCTCCACCACAGGTTGCTGCCGCTACTGCTGCAGCTGCACAGATACAGATTAAACCACAGACTGCATCAGCATCAACAAAGTGGAAGCTTGGAAGCTTGGAAGCTTGGATGGCACGAACGGATTCTTGCATCCCATACTTCCCTCCAACTCTCGAAGTCAACCCGCAATACGCGAATGTCACGGCGAGTGAACATACACATTTATATAGATTCAACGCATAGGCAAGAGCAAGCATTGAGTTTCAACAGTTACAGACACGCAGTTATATAGATTCTACGCACAGGCAAGAGCAAGCATTAAACAGTTGTTTAACCAGCTCGCAGGATTTCACCACGCTGTACTTGAAAACGGTTGCTCAACTCCTTGAGCATTTGGCTTTATCCTCCTCGTGTTAAAACTGACTTCAAACGGTACTTGTAACAATTGCCCCTGCTGACTCAAATGTGTGCACTCATGAGACTCGCATGTGATTCCAATGTAGCTCTAATGAGTTCATGCGAGCTCACACTCATAAAACGAATTTTACCGTTTGAAAAACGGAATAACCGATTTGTACCTGTGGAAAAACAATAACGCAAAGCAGCGTGACATTCGCGAGAAATTTCCCGTCCCGTAAGTCAACTCGGAAAATAGTTTTTCAACTGTAGATTCCAAGCACCCCCTCGTGCCACACGCACGACCGTGATGCAGTACGGTCATGCTGTACATCGCGCCATGATCGCAATCATGTGCGTGTATAGTACAGGACAGGGCCGAAACGTGCCCTGTCCTGTTACAATAATGCGGTACAGCAGTCTCGCAACAGTGCGCGCCACGCCCTGAGGGGCCACACGCGCGTATCAGGACCCCCACGCGGTCCTAATTTTTGCATCCTTTGACTCGTGCAAAATAGTCAAGCAGCACCCCCCTTGACCAGTCAAACATTCGAGCCCCCCAGCACACCACTCACTCACATAAGCCTCGTATGAATTAATCGAGGCTTATGGGACTTCAATGAGCCTTGCATTACACATTCAAAACTCATGGGTTGCTTGCATGAACCTCGCATGAAACATTTAAGTCTCATGAGACTTTCGTGGGAGCTAATTAGAGCTTCATGAGAGCCTCATTTGAGATCTTTACGGGAGTCTCATTTGAGCGCTTCATGAGAGCGTCATGGGAGCCTCATTTGAGCGATTCATAAGAGAGCGCATCATGGGAGCCTCATCTGAGGGCTTCATGAGCTTCACGAGAACAGTGAAAACGAAATTGAAAATGCACAAAAACAAAATGCAATTACCAGTGAAAACGAAACTCACACAATGCAAGAACAAATGCGCACAGAACATCACAAAATGAAAATAAAGGCACACACATAAAAAGCAAAATGCGACGCAGGCGGCTGGTTGACATGCAAAAAAATAAATATTTGAACCCAACAAACTCCCCCTCAAGCAGTCGCCTGCTTGCACTCACATTCATGAGCCTAGTTAAGGCTCATGCCACTCAGCTTAGCACAACGCCAATGCGGTTCTTCAGCCAGCTGCTTTGTGAGGAGATCAGCGGCTGCTGCTGCATCTTCACATAGAGAGGCTCAAGGGTTCCTCTCTGCACTTCCTTGCGCAGCCAATGCCACTTGATGCGCATGTGCTTGGTAAACCCATGCAGTACCGCGTTCTTGGCCATGGAGATGGCACTTGGATTATCACAGAAGAGTGGGGTTCGTGCCTTCTTCTCATGCTCAATCTCCTCCAGCAGCTTCTGCAGCCAAACCCGCTCCTTGGCCGCGTGGTACATTGACATGTACTCAGCTTCAGCAGTTGAACCCACTGTTTCCACCTGTTTCTTTGACCTCCAATTCACGGGTCCTCCCCCAATCACACACACGTGCCACCCACTAAAGACATGTCCTGTTTCTCTGAAGCTGATGACGAATCAGCAAAAGCTGTAAGGAACAGCTCTCTCTCTCCCAGTTGTTACGATATGAAACTCATTGAATTGATAGAAAATGTGAAGTACAACCCTAGATATAGCAAACCCTAGTCATGCAAGGAAGTAGAAATGTAACACCTAGACTAACCTAAACAGCACATATAAAATATATGTTGACACACCCCCATAGTCTAGGTGACGGTAATCTTGGGGAAAAACAACACATATCTCAGGGTGGGTCTCAAGGACACACACAGTCTGAGAGCAACCAAGGGTCACATGACCAATCAACAAGAACAAGCAAGGGTCAAAAGACTAGTCCACAAGAACAAGACAAATCTCAGGGTGGAGCTCAAAGTCACCACACACTCCGAGAGCAATCAAAAGGGCCACAAGGCCAGTTCACATGCATGTATTATATACATGTATGTATATATGCATGTATATAATAAGATGCAAGAGTACAAGACAAGAAGGACAAAGCATCTCTACGTAAGCAAGTGAGGACGGGCAGGCACAAGGC